TTGCGAAATTGACTTTCGCGTTGATCGCAACATACAACATCAAGTTATACAACATCAAACATTCCAAGCTAAATACAAGCTAAGGACATTTTTTTAATGACAGTTTTAGTTGAAGATTCATGGGTAAAGACATATTGTAAAACACCATGAAACATCTCCCATGACCCTCCAAAACACAAATATATCCAAACATGATCAACATTAGACGATTTCATTCTACAATTATAAATTATTTACTAACAAACGAGCTATAACTAGATATCATCACTAACTTAGAGAAAAACATACCTTTATTAAGTTGATAGTTGATAATTTGGGAGAGAAATCATTGAAAAATATATAGAATAAAATTATGTAAACAAATTAGAGATGGGAAGGATGTCGTTGGATATAGAACAGATGTCGCCGGAGAGAGTGATAGATGGAGATGGAATGAGTTGCGATTTAGGGATTTAGGTTATGAGTTGATGCTGCTGCGTTATTATATACCCAAAACATTTGTGTTGCGAAACTAAAACCTGTTGCGAAATTAAATTCGCGTTGCGAATTTGACTGTCGCTTTGCGCTGCTGCGTTGTTATATACCCAAAACATTTGTATTACGAAACTAAAACCTGTTGCGAAATTAAATTTGCGTTGCGAATTTGACTATCGCGTTGCAAATTTGACTTTGTGTTGCGAATTTGACTATCGCGTTGCGATTTACAAATTCACGTTGCGATTTACAGATTCGCGTTGCGATTTACAGATTCGCGTTGCGATTTACAGATTCGCGTTGCGAAATTGGAAACTGAGTTGCGAAATTGGAGTTCGCGTTGCGAATTTGTTGGTCATTTTGGAAAATCCAAAAAAAATTGGTTAAATTCGTATATTATAAGGCATTTTCGGTCACTGAGGTTATTTTCTCTAGTTATATTTGTATTTTGTTTTGCTTATTTAGATTATGATTTTGCAGACTTAAAGGCACATACATGCTTTAGGATCTTCTATTCTTTATGACGTTCTTTACTTTCTGCATACTTTCTATGTAGGAGTTATTATAAGTGCACAGCTGCTGGTTTCCCTGTTAGAAAACCATCGAGAGGGCATCTCATGATCCGAAAGCTGTTATAACCACTACGAGGGATCTCTATACAGCTGGACCTGTAAAGGCACCATGAAGGATTAGATCAGAAGAAAATGATGTCATTAGCCTTGATCTTGGTGTCAGGATTAGTCCTGCTCATGAAAATAGTTCGACCGAAAATCAGCAATTGCATTCTGAACTCATCCAAAATCACCCTCAGACTGGTGGTTCTAGTTTCAAGCCAGTTCAACCAAGTCCACTGACAACATACAATGGTGTTTCCTAATGGTGGCAGAATCATTATGGATCTAGAAAGCACAAAGCGAAGGTCGCCAAGTTGAAATTTTGCCCCTAAATCATTCTTATGCATATGCACAGACCATGGAAGAATACTAACAGTCCGTAAATCTGTCAACACGTAGGTACAAGAAATAAAAACATGGACATTCCTTCTTTCCTTCTTTTTCCCCCATCTTTTTGGCTGGTAAAAGAAAGGTTAGAAAGCTTATTCTGAAATATATGTATTGTTTCTCTATATATAGTAAGTAGGGTAATTCTGTTGTGCGTCAGCCTTATTATTAACCGGCGTATATTAAGTCTGTCGTACCTTAGACATCCCTCTATCTATATATTGTAGCCTGTTAACCGGCGTACAAACTATTTTCTGCCACAAATCAGTCCTGTATAAACTGGGGGGATTGTACAAAAAATGGAACTGGTATATGTATTATTTTTATTACAGGAAAGTGTTGTAAAACATGTCTTTGATTCAATTTTGATTACCCGACAGTATATGCAGTATTGTTAATTCATTATACACAACAAATATAAATCATATAGAAATACGCCCTAATACAAGTGCTTCGATCATTAAGGTAATGGTATGCAGTTTTGTACGAGTTGGATCTATTGGATAACCCATGGGAACATGAAGACAGACTAAATCCAAAGCAATGAGTTACATATTCCTCCAGATTTTGGGAAATTAATTGGTAGCTTCTGCTGGTAATTCTCCACTTTGAGACTATCAATACTCAATTGGCATAATGTTGCCACCTATGCTTTCAATCACCATTGATATTTTGAGGCCTAAAAGAAGATAAAAGTCCAAAAAAAGAAGCTGCAGCACCCAAAGTTGATTTTCCATGGTTTTGCCAATGGCTAAAAGGCAAGATAGATAGCCAAAATTACCTGAGATATCAAGGGGAGGGTAGGCGGTTTTTTGAGGTTGCGCCCACCCTTCTAACAATTAAGTTCAAAGACAAGAGTGTTCCAACAACAATAGCCCCATTGAAAGAATCCACTAACTGTACCTTTCTCTTTCCATTACATTTCTATCCAACAACTTCATGACAAAAAAACAATATCAACGTAGAGAAAGAGAAAAAAAGGTGTTTTCTTTTCTCAATGAATCAAGTACTCCTATGTCCAAAATATACTCCTTTTCAACTCTTATCACCATTTACAGATATTGGAATTCAACTTTAAACACGTTTTGATCAATAAAGGCGAAGATAGGTGAAAAAGTACAAGAAATATCCCCCACAAATAAAGGGACACCATCATTCTTGAAAGGCTAATAGCTATTGGCAACAAGCCGACAGAGCATCAACCATCCTTTTATTCTGCAAAAAGAAACACTTCCAAACGCTACATTCCATCTCGGTTTGGACTGTTTTTCAGACCCTTTTCCTCCTATCATCTATTTTACCCCAACACATTGCCACATAACTCTGCCTGCTTGGACTTTGTATCCTAAGCGGCTGATTCTACCTTTTTTCTTTCCTTCTACATGCTTGCATTGAATAGATTAACGATTCCATAGCTTATAAATGTCCTATATATAGCAATATAGTAACCTCAGATCACCTTATGAGCATTCTCCTCAGTATCATTGATAGGCTCTGCGTTTTATTTTTTTTCTTGATGGGAAGGCAGAGTGAGCCGGCTGCTCATTCTTCCATTGCTCTCTTGAGAGGTTTAGACAGCTGCAGCGAGCGAAGGAATTGAGACAGGAAAGAAGTTTTACGAATGCTATCCGGAGCAGAGGATCAATCCAGGCACACCGAATGAAACATCACAATTGTTTTTCCATTCCGAATTGATGTTTCAGCCTGGACCGCATCTCCAAGGATCTGCATACGGTGAATCTAGCATGCGGAGCATGTATAATCGACGCCAGGTTATCGAAACTCCGATATTTTCGAACTTACAGCAGACAGACACGGTTTGCATACCTTTAATGATTCAGATGTTGACACTTCACTTCATCTGTGAACGATTGTAGTTTATTCTAGTGTTTTTGTTTCGTTCTCCGGTGACTCTTCTTATGGAGCTGTAAGAAAATGGTAAGGGGAAATGGAAGAGAAACAAATGGTATAATATATATATATATATATATATATATATATATATATATATATATATATATATACACTATAGTCCAGTAGTCTCCTTTATTCTCGTTATGATCAGAAGTTATATAATGATCTGAAGGTCATCCTCTTGCCTCTTTACAAAGCATTTTCACCATGGTTGCCATTATTTGAGTCTTCATCATTGCGTCACTTCCTCTTCATGATTTTTCGGAATCGTCGGATGAACAGCCATGGTATCTAATAGAGCTTCCTCATGGTTATCCTTTCAAACTTGAAACAGCAATAACTTTCTGGGCTTTTCCTGCCAATATCTGCAGTCCAAAACAAGTTTCCTACATTTAAGTGTTAGAAATACAGTTGATCAAGTTTTGGCCTGATAAACAATTCGAATGAATAGAAAACTCAGAAAATATGTACTCAAAGTAAAAAAAACTCTAAAGTTCGTATTTGGGAAGAAGAAAAAATGCACAGAACGCTTGCATTTGTAAAGACAGCCATCAATTGTATGTCATATGCAGCAGCAGTAGTTCGAAAAGGCTACATCCTACATGAAGAGGAGATGCCACAACTAGTGCTCATCATTGTTTCCTTCATAATAGTTCCTTTCTGAACTATGTAACATATGTTTAATGCAATTTTCCTGAATGTATATTCTTGTTTACTTTCACCGTGATTGAATACGACAATCAGTCGCAATATATCTCAAAGATGTCTAAATTTGAGTGATCCAGGTGAAACAAAAGGGAGATGGATCCCTGTGCTTTTGCCAATAAGGCAGAAAGACGCTGATTTGTAAGAAAAATGTCATAGTGAATAAAGTTCATATTATCAATTGTTGTGTAATGTTTCAAGAGTTCCTAATCATTCATAATCCGGATGCCATAAGTTGTACCTGCATTCATTGTGTATTAGATGTATTAGCATCGAAATCAAAGATTCCGACTGCTCGCATTACAACATAGCCGCTTTTCTTCCGGATCTCCTCCTGCAGGAAAATTTTAAAAGCTTATGAATTGACCCCATAGTGTAAATAAGTACTACTTGATCCTCATTCCTCTGCATAGAAGAAATTCCGTGCTTACTTGACATCATGCAAGTTCACATGTTTATCAGATCAATTTATCACTTCTCAGTGTCGATATGAAACCCTTTGACAGAATAAGTAATGCGCAGGCGACAACACAGAGTTCATCGAAACTGTGCTTCTGCTGCTACAGTACTACAGGAAAACGTTAACTTTAGTTCTAATGATTTGGTATTATTTGATTGGAAGATTGATGATCAAAGCTTAAAGTCAAAAGACAAATCTTTTGGTGCTTAAGCAAGTCGAACCAAAACCATATTTGTCACACTCGGAGTTTGAGCCCCAAATTGGAGAAATGAGAGAGAACGTGATAGAAAAGCGTGTAATTTGGCAGAAGAGTGGAGAACTGCAGGCCCAAAAGTCTAAAGAGCAGAAATTGAAGAACAAAACAATCTGACATGACTAAGAAACAAGAAGAGCATCCCAACCGACTTTCATAAATAAAAGAGGTAATTCGACATACATGATCACGGAGTCGTGTGATGAGCACAGAACAAACTATTCTTTCGCCTTTTACTAAAGAATACCGTGTGCTGTCCACTCAAAGCGGCATACGCATATTTTTGAAAGGGTGTCCTCGTTGAATGCCCCCATCCCAATCCTAGTTCCAATAATTTCTTCTGGGTTTTTAAGATTTTATGTGTTAGTTGGCCTTCATCTGTGAACAGTTGTAGCTCAATTTTGGATAGAAACTTTGATAGGAACTTCAAATTTCGATTAAAAAGCATGAAAGACGACGACGTCGTTGAAGAAATAAAACTGGGTTGGCTTAACCACTCGGCAGCTGTTTCATTCTGAATAGCTCAACCACTCGGCAGCTGTTACATTCTGAGACATTAATTTCATATATTTATATAGCAGTCCATTATGTTAGGACGGATCATATAGAAGGGTTCAAGTTCGAACCCCTAAATAATATTAACATTTTCTGAAGTTTCGAGACCAAACCTCTAAATAATATTTGGCTTATTTTTTATTGACCAATAAAGTGGTGACACTGTATTTTATTGGAGAGAATTAATCTATAAATAAATGACCTGTGATCGAAATAAAATACTTTTAAAGTTTAATGACTATTGAACTAACTTCTGATTTTGATAGAACATGATTTTTTTTAAATGTTTTAAGTTGTTAAAATTTACATTTCTCGTTTTTATAAATAATTTGTCATGAACGATTTTAAAACGTTTTTAAGTGTAAAAAATAATCAGAAGTATTATTTAGTAAATTCACATTTTGAAAAAAATTTGTTTTAAAGCTCAAAACACTTGATTTTTAGCAAAAACTCCTTTCAGTCTCTAGATCAGTATCCCAATCTCGATACCAAAATTCCAGAGGCTTTTTGGTTTCGTACCATGGCCTTGGTATCGAGACCGGTGGGTGAGTATCGATACTAGTGGTCCAACGGCTATAAATTTGACTGTTGGAAGGCACGGTCTCGATACCAACATCCCAATATCGATACTAAATATGCATGTGAGCATTTAATGTTCAAAATTAGTGAATCCAACGACTCTATTTAATCCCCCAACGGCTAGTTAATGTTAGAAGACATAAAATGGACCAATAATCAAATGGAGAACATGAAGAAGATAATTGCAAGTTCAAACCAACATCAATAGAGTTTTTAGAGCAAAAATTGTCAAATTCTTAGTAACACACTTGTGAGCTACACTGCTAAATTTGCTCAAGTGTAACTTTTGGTGAGTGCTTAATTTATGCAAACACATTTACCTTTGTGAGGTTTCTCTTTTGTTTGCTAAATTTGTAATTACTCATTAGGAGAGTGTGTATTCAAGGTTTGTGGTTTAAACCTTGAAGTGTTTGTAAAGTTATATCTTATCCTCAAAGGTTTGCAAATCTAGTGGATTTGAAAAATCTTTAGTGTGAATACTAAGGTAGTAGATGTAGACTTAGTTTAGAAGTCGAACTACTCTAAATTCTGTGCAAAGTTTTTGTTAGGTATGGCTCATAAATATATCGGTAAAGAGGACAGGGGAAGGTACAAGGTTAATTTTGTAAATATGTATAATGGTTTATTTATTATAAATAGAGATGTAACCTAAACCTATGAGACATTGAATAAAACTTCTAGCGTCGCCTAGGCACCGAGGACGTAAGCACATTGCTGAACCTCGTTAAAATTATTTCGTTCTTTCGTTTTTCTTTTCCGATTCTTCAATAGTTTTATTTTCGATTGCTTCCCCCACAAAATTTTCAAAGGTCAATTCACTCCCCTCTTGATGGTTTTCGGTTGATCGATTCGAGGCTAACAATGACTCTAATACAAGTTTTAAAAATTCAAAGATGAAATTATAAACGATCTAAAATTTTGGTGACCATCATCAGTGTGGTTTACCTAACACATTATTCAAAGTGTATCAATTTTGGCTGCTTTAAAATATCCAACAATTTTGACTAATTAACTGAATTTTTGGTGTGTGTATATATATATTATATTTATGAGACTTGCATTTAAATTTATATATCACCAACAATATTAAAAATGACTTTCACCACTTCAAGTTTGAATAGGTTATTTTTAATTACATAATTACACCAAATGCCATCAAAATTTTAATCTATATCATTTTTTTCATTGAATTATATATTTTTAAATTTTAACACTAAATTTTAATTTTAACTTCAATTATAGCATTAACTTTTAAATCATTAACGGTGTGATATGTGACAATTTTTCCCATTGAATTTTAGTACGTGTATCTATTTTTTTATCAACCTTTTAAATGCTTCCATTATAGGCACTGGAATTTAGTCCGTCCGTGTATCATTTTCCCCAACAACTAATTTGACTATATATTGTTATTAAATTCAATCGTTGCCCATCATTGGCCATTATTAATCTCGAGATTTATACCAAAATATTCTTATCTCACTCCTCTTTAATTTCTTATTTTTCACGAAACTTATTCAAAATCAACGAAATCTAATCTAAAGGCTTAACGTTCTAACAAAATTATCTCCTCCAATAATCGTCTAATGAGTATTGTTTCAATGTATGTTATTAGTCTTCTTAAAAAATTTTCTCATTATTCGATTTTTCTAATAACTCTCTAATTTTTCATTCCGGAATAATCCTCCGAACTCCAAAAATAATAGTGAGTTTTATTGTTTAATATGATTAGTTTTAAAATATAAAAAAAATCTAAATTAAAAGTTGTAGTAGACGATGAGTTGAATTCATCGATATTTAGAATAATCGTAAAAGATGTAAAGAGGAAGAGTTTTCGTCGGTTACATTTTTTTAAACTTTGATGAAAGAAATTAAGTGAAATAAAAAATCATTATTTTTCACTTTCATAATAGTACACATTAATATCATATCAGTATAAAATCATCATATAATCTTATTATTAATGAGTTTTCGACTTAACGTTTTAACTGAAATGAAAATAAAATATAATGCTAAAATTATTTTTTAAAAATTTAATCGTAAAATTTATATATATAACTAAGTGGTAATTAATATAATTTATCATTTAATTAATGCACGTCCGGAACAGTACACTCAAGAAAAAGACAAGACGGCGGTAGCTTATTTTGTTTTACCAAGGACATGACCGGTTACAGAGTAGGGTCATTAATTTTACAGTCTTCCACGGCGGCGGCCAAGACATTTCTTCCTTTCCGATTCTAATGAACAATTTTAGAACCATGATATGGAGTTGGAATAAGAACAAGGTCATTTTTCCTCTTCACAGTCATGCCAAAAACTTCATCCATATCCAGATCCTCCCCTTTCATTCCATCTGGCAACGTCCAGTCAAAATGGAATAACAACTGCGCCAGTGGCAGCTCCAGATTGGGCGTCGCGAACGTGATCCCTGGACACATTCTTCTTCCGGCACCAAACGGGACGAACTCATAATTCGTTCCCATGTAATCGACTGAACCGTTGAGGAATCTCTCGGGGTAAAACTTGTCTGGGTCGTTCCAGTACTTTGGGTCTCTTCCCAGTGCCCACGCATTGACGAGGACTCTGGTTTTGGCTTTGGACTTCGTAGCCGTTGATTTCACAAGCTTCGTTGCATTCTCTGGGGAGCAACAATGGCACCGACGGCCGGATTCGGAAGGTTTCTCTGATGACGGCTTTCAAGTATTTGAGTTCATGAAGGCCTGATTCGTCTACGTTTCCTTTTGGTCCGAAGACTCGTCGTACTTCGGCTTGGGCTTCTTTCATAACCCTTGGGTGTTTAATCATTTCGGAGAGTGCCCACTCTACGTTGTCGATGATGTTTCACTTCCCTCCAAAAACGTCCTGAAAAAAAAAAACATAAAAAGATTCAGATTTTAGAACACGGGTTAACGAAGATCGGATGTATGTTTCGTGTTGTACTTGTCGGTGCAAAAGTTACTAACCACGATGACTGATTTGATGTTCTTGTCTCCCAAAGGGAACTCGTTCTCCTCTTGGATCCTCAAAAGCACATCAACAAGATCTTCTTGTTCAGCTTGTTCATCGCCATTTTTTACTCTATCCCTTCTCTCCCTGTGTTCCCTAATGATGTTCTCGATTATCTTATCGTTCTCCTTATGCATCTTCATGACTTTCTTCTCCACTCCATTTAGATGTTTAAGCACTTTAATGGAAGGGAAAAATCAGACACGCAAAATCCAGCAAGCAACTTAGTGAGTTCAGTAATACTGTCGATGTAAGTCTCTTGATCCTTGCATTTTCCACCGAACGCCGCTCTGGCAACCACCCCGTATGTCAAGGAGATCTTTGAGCTGAGGTTCACCGGTTTTCCGCCGCCTTCGTGTATCGTCTTCACGAGGTTGAGAACCTCTTCTTCCCTTATCGAGCGGAACGATTGGACCCTGGAGGCGCTCAACAGCTCGGTGGTGCAGACTTTACGGAGGTGTCTCCAGTAGGTGCCGTAGGGGGCGAAGGCGATGTTGGTGAAATCGTACGTGTAGATTTTGGGGACGTCAAGGGCCGGCCTGTATGAGAAGTTGATGTCGTGTGTCTTCATTACTTCTTCTCGCCCCTTCCGGAGAAAACGACGACCGTCGAGATTTCACCAAGCTGGAGATGCATGAGTGGTCCATGTTTGAGGGCCAAGTCTCTCAGGGTCTTGTGGGGTGAAGGGCTGGCGATTTTGGTGCAAATTCCCGATCACCGGCAATCTCCTCGGCCCTGGGATTGAATTCTTGGGTTTTGATTTCTTTAAACTTCTGAATATGAAGAAGGAGACAGCTCATTGGGATATGCCCTTGAATTTGTTGATTTATAAGATACTTGTAAGTACATACATGACAGGATAGAAACACATGTGATTGGTCACGTGCATGTGTTTGAAAGATCACATAAATTCCCAACCTTTGTTTGTATATAAAAATTTCAAAAGTGACTGCGCCATCTATTTATTTAATTATATGATAATAACTAGGTGAGTATGGAAAAACGTAAAGTCTATCCAGTGACGACGGAACAGCTTATTATCTTAAAATTTAATTTTTTTTCGATTATTATTTTATTGTATGAACGATAATTATCTTGAAATTTTATTTATATTAATTCTATTTAAAAATTTATATTATTAATATATATTTAATTACTATTAAAAATATTTCAAAATATACCGTTGAATTTATCAAACAAATCTATACTTGTCACTCTCGATCAACTTTGACTACCAACACCAAACTAATGAATTTCAGTTGGATTATTTTGAATAAATTATATTTCCATTTATAAAAGTAATAATATATATATTTTTAACATCGTTTTCATGTAAATTTCTCCAAATTGTGTATATTTTGGGAGTAGAGTCCATGATTGCTGGCTCTGGGTCAACAGAACAGCACACTCTCAAAATACAAAGGATCTTACCTTCGTTTACAATATAATTTCATGGAGAATAATATTAAATATAGCAGCTGAGATTGAAGTCGAGTGGCGTAGTCAAATTATTTGAATCCCACCAGCCCAACTTATACTAATCTATAATTTGTGGCGTTTCTTATTTTTTTGTTCATTATTTTAGTAACGTTTCTTCGCAGCTTTCATGTCTGCTTATTTTATTTTATTTGCTGCCTTCTGCAGATGACTTTTGGTCTATTTCATGGCTTTTAAAATGTGGAAAATTGCTTTAAACACCGCTAAACGTTGTTCCGTTTGAACTTTTAATTTATTAATTAGAGCATGAAATTTTATTTTTATATTCCATTCCGTTATTGATGTGATATGTCATAAACGCATCATTTTAGTGTTGGTGTTCTGATGCCCAAAACGATCATTTTAGATACTGAATTTTATGGATGTTTCGATTTTGGCACCGACTCTTTTAAACATTTTACTTTTTTTACATTGCACTTTCAAACCGATGTTGTTTATATTTAGAATTTAGTTAACTACTTATTATCATTGAAAATATTATTTTATAATCTATTATAAAGAAGATAAATAATGATCACTAATATTTGAGTAAATTTTAAAAGTAACAATTGATCAGTAAAAATATTGATTTATAACAAATCAATCACTTACTTTTAAGAGCCTTTACTGTAGTAACAAAATACTAATGTGGTACATTAAACCAACTAAATTAGCATCGATTGACCATGTGAGACACCTTTTGAGTGGCCGTTTGACTCTTCGCTCTTATTTTGTATTCTTCTTCCTTTTTTTTGCTAACACCAATGGTAGAACGCAAGAGGGGTTAGTGGGATCCATCTCTCAAAAAATATTTAAAAAAATATAATTTAAACTTGAAGTTTTTTTAAAATTTAATTTTGTCTCTTAAAATTTTAAAAATATTAAATTGTAATTTTTTAATATTCTTAATTAAACATTCTCTCATAATTTTTAAAATTCACATTAAGTCTCTCAAAATCTTAAAAAAATTAGACCCCATTTTTGAAAAAAATATAAGTTAACGTTTTCTAAATTTATTACAATTTTAATTTTAATTTCTAATTCACCAACTTCCGTCTATAATTAGCACTTTTTACTATGGCATGGAGATTATTCAAGCATGGGGCGTGTCTATTGCTGATTAAATTATTTATAAAACCCTCTCTTAGACTGGGCTTGCCTGACCTTCGAGATTTGTGGAAGGCATAGGAGACTCATATTACACCCGAAAATCTCTTCCTACCACAGTATTTAACTAGGGTGATAAACTGATAATATCATAAAAAAACTAATATTATAAGCCACTCTCCCCTGTTCTTTATTTTTTCCCTTTTGTTTTGAGTTTTTGTCGCTTTTTATAGATTAGATCAATTTTTTTACTTTGTTTAGTCGGTGGTGACACTGATTTTAATATTAATTGTTTCTCACGACACTCAGTTCTAATTTACGGTTCTTATTTGTCTTTTATAGTTTAATTCTTTTTTTGTGGTTCATTTCTTGATACAAACAGATTTATTCGTATCTATTTTTATTCGAGTCTTTTGGTTAGATTTTTAACCTTTTTCATGTATAGTCTTTATATGATCTAATGAGACTAGTTTCAATGTTATAAGAAAAGTCCAAATTATGTGTTTAGTTTACGATAATAGTTGTAAACTCTTATTATAATTTTTTAATAATACTAGCGGGTTCTATTAAAAAAAACTAGGGTGGTAATATTGACTATGGTCGATAGGGACGGAAGCATAAATTTTTGTAGCGTGAACTTAATAAGTTATATTAAAAATTCTAAAGATGTAGAGTTATAAAATTTTAGAGACTACGAAATTACGTCATTAATAGAAAATTTTAGAGACCGTGAAATTACGTAATTAATAGGAAATACAATGAAAATTGAAAATTCTAAGCGTGTGACCACACCCGATACCTCTCTGTCCATCTCTGGTACAGATCATAACTTTAGAGCTAAAATAGTATAAATCTACGTATTTCATGTGGGGGACGTACGGACTTCGATAAGCAGAAGCCATGATGAGAGCTTCATGGAAGTTTGTCAACATACTTGAAACCTGCGTTGAAAGAGTGATCTATTTAGATTCAGACACCATCGAAGAAGACATACAAAAGCTCTGGAAAATAAATTTGACAGGTTCAATAATACTGGAGCACCTGACCTGAGTATTGTAATGCAGACTTGGCCAAGTATTTCACAAGTGATTTCTGGTCAAACCCAAAACTTGTCGAGGTTTTCGAAGGCAAGAAAGCTTGTTATTTGATATTTCAATAGAGGTGTGATTGTTATGGGCTTAGGAAGGTGGAGACAAGGCGATTACACAAGGGAAATTGAGAAATGGGTGAGGATTCAGAAAGATAAAAGGATATCTTCCACCATTGTTGTTGGTTTTTGGTGGAGATGTTGAAGCCATCGATCATAGGTGGATCCAACTTGGTCTTGGGTGGGGATAATTCGGTGAACAGTTGCAGGCCATTGCACCCAGGTTCAGTAAGTTTGCTTCATTGGAGTGGGAAAGGAAGCCATGGGTGAGACTAGATACAAAGAGACCTTGCTCCGTTAACTTTACTCAAGACTCTAATAAGAATATCAAAATTGAAAGTGTATGTTCTCTAACTTTTTGAAAATTTTAACGTAGAGTTTGCAATTGCACGAGCTAGCACGGTTTTGACTTGAATGCTACTTTGAATTGCAGGGAGAAATCAAGCAATGGTGCCTGCTCATTATTAGGCAAACAATCTGAGTCCTCAGAAATAATCAAACTGTGCGAGTGTACGTAACATGTATATTCATTTTTTCTAACAAGTTTTTAATATATTTGGAGGTTCGTAAAATGATTATATTCCTTTTGGAAGATAGATTCGGGTCTAATATGAGTCTCCTATGCCTTCCACACATTCTCGAAGGCCAGTGGCTCTTAACGGCAAGTGATTGATTTGTTATAAATCGATAATGTTATCGTGTAATTTGTTAATTTTTAAATTTCAGTAGTAAAATAAAATTTACTCAAATATTAGTGACAATTTGTGTATTTTACCTTCATAAGAAATTACTAGGAATGTGATAGAAGTGTGAAGTATATATTTCTAGTAATAACACTGAATGAAGAATCCAGCAGACAAACTGACATCATGGGCTATAATAGGACCAAAATAACAGGAACGTTAGAATAAAAATACAAGCCAACAATGGGAAAACAAGAAGGTGAGGAAGAGAACTTGGGTCTTAGAAGCAGATGCGGGGTGCTGCTTATGAAAGGACCGAGAGAGATGGGGAGGGATAAAGATTGCTTCTTTTGGGAATCGACAAGATAAATGACTAACATTTCCCCATAATTAGGGTTCACTTAAACATAGTCGAATATTGTTGTGATTTTAACTTCGCCGGTTACGGCAGCTGCAATTCCCACTCTATGCCATGCATTGTAGGAGCCACTGTCCCGAAAAAGATGACTACTGAGATATTTTCACCTAACATCAATTTCTAGAAACTAAACGTCTAACTCAACTAACTCAGGTCTCCAACTAAGTTTCAGTTTCTGCTGGTTTATTTTGAGTTGGATGTAGGGATGGGCACGGGGGGCGAGTTTTTGTCCGTCCCGACTTCTACCCGAAAACATACATGTAAAACTCGATCCTGTCCCGCTCCGAAGAATTTTGAGTTTTTTTCAGTCCAGAATTCCTATTCGTTTTTGGGGTGATCGTGTTCTCACGACTACTTACCTCATCAACAGGTTGCCATCACCCAGATTGGATAACAAGTCTCCCTATGAAATTTTGCATGGTCATCTTCCTGATTACGGTCGTTTAAAAACTTTTGGTTGCCTTTGTTTTGTGTCTACGTTGAAGTCACATAGAGACAAATTTTCGGCTCGTGCTCTTCCAGCAATTTTCCTTGGTTATCCACCAGGAGTAAAGGGCTACAAAGTGTATATTTTACATTCTCAGAAGATTGTGGTTTCGCGCGATGTTGTGTTTCATGAGCACATCTTTCCTTTTCATAATATCACTGATTTGGATCATTCTTTTGATCTTTTTAAATATTTTTCTTTACCAATTATTGCTAATGATTTGCTGGACATTCCTTCACAGCAGCATCCGAGT